GACGGTGAAAATGATCCACCGGCGCACATGCGCTATTCACTTTCCACGGTCCCCATTTCCGTGGTGGCAACTACGGGGATGCCAGGCTGCAAGCAACTTCTTAGCCTCTTTGTCCAACACAAGATCAGGAAGTTTACTGAGTCCATCAGAGATATAGACTCTGGCAACTTTGTTCGAACTCCAACGGCCTTTGACCAAAGCGACTTCCATGCTTCCTGTCACCTGAAAAAGGTGGGTTGCCCCCCCCCTCCGGAGGGAGTACGGGCGGAACAACAAGTGTTGTATGTTGAACCGACGAAGGTACGCATCGAAATGATTTCTAAAACTCTGAGGTGAAAACTCCCACAGCTTGTGCGACAATGCATTCCTGGAGGTCAGGATATCCAACACGGTGGACACGATCAAAAGGGTGAAATCATTCTCCACAGCAACGGTCTCGTCAGCTGCGTTTCGTTTGCCACTTTTAGTACCTTTCAAGGAAATCAAGAGCTGTCGGCGATTACAAAGGAGATCTGTGCCAACTAAACTCATCAGCTCGCCTGTCCGTAGCAAGCCAAAGAATCCCAAGCACAAAAGAGCGGCGAAAAAGATGTCACCATGTGATACAGCATAGTTTGCAAGGCTCATGACAATACCACACGTGAGAGGAGGTGCTCGAGATGGCCATTCCAATTTTCGCCATGTGGCAAACAAACGCCAGGCGCTAGGGATACAATGCTTTGTCATGGGTTCGAAGAAATGCAAGCCGCAAAGTGCGTTAGACACCACATAGAGGGTTTCACCATCCTCCCATGCTCTTTCAACCCAATTAGCGACTGCAATGTCCAATTGTGCGGGCCCCTGAACGTCCTCAAGTTCTGGCAATAGCTTCTGAAGTGCGGTCAAATAAGCGACCTTAGTGCGCTCACTCAAGCCAGCTTCTGACAGAATCACCCCAGCGCGCGCCCTTCGACGCTGCTGCCGGGTAGTGCGATGAATGACTTTGGCGTGGACACGCACCATCTCTTTTACTCATTGTCGACTGGCAGCATCCGTCGGGTTTTCCGAACTTTCAACATGCACAACCAACATCTGAAGGCCATGGAACAAAAGCAACGCATTGAGTTTCTTGAGAAGCTTGTTTAACATGAGGCTAGAGGTGCGTCCCTTGCTAATGACGCTCATGCAAACGTAGGAATCCGTGGCATGGAAAATGCGACAGTTATTCCAATTCTCTCTTTCAAGCCCTCTCTGCACACTAAGGATGATAGCTCTAAGTTCAAGGAGGTTAATGTGATGTTTTTCTTTCCATTTAACTGTGAAGCAATGTTGCCACTTCCACAAACCTGCGCAAACGGGTTGTCGAGGGAAGGCCTTTGGGTTGAGAAGGTCTCCACTTGTGATGCGCACATCACTTCCGGTAAAGTTGGCTCTTCCTAAGAACAACTTGTTGAGCTCCGACACGGTCAAACCCTCTTGAGCCTCTGCGATATTTTGACAACCATACTGCAGTGACCGACGAATGGGGGCTTGAAAACGTAGCGGGGCTCGAAAACCCGGGGACAGGCCCATGCGTGCAGCCAAATGGTGATAATGAATTTGCGGGAGAAAACCACGGCAGAGGGCACAACCAATGACAACAAAGGAGTGGATACTGAAAGCATCCCCAATCAATGAACACTTCTCCAACTCGTACCCCTTTTTATCTTCTTTAATACGACTGGCCGGCCACGCAAGTGAACAATGTTCATGACCATATCCCATCAAAAGCCCCCTCTCTTCACTATTTATCAATCTCCACCGGGAATCCTTCCAAATCAGGAACTCAGCCCTAAACTGATAAGGAGGGTAAATAAACTCTGAAGCTTCCCATCTATCACGGCAATCAGAGTCTGCTCTCTCCAAACCGGCCGGAAAACTGGGTGGAAACTTCTTAGGCACCGCCCGCATACATGTGGGAAACCCTTCACAACGACCTTCGCCAGGCCATGTACATTCTGGGGCTAACCACTGCTCGAGAGTAGGGTGAGGTGCCTTTGCAACTATCTTCGTCCATCGCCTCTCAGGGAAGCACTGCACTCCATCCAGGCTGCCTTCGACTTGCTCGGTTGTCCAACACAGTCTCGGGCGACGCATGGGTACAGCATCAATGCAATCCAGGTAGTAGGGTTGAACCCCCATCCATTCACTGATCTCTGTTGATGCCTGCTCGTCCATTGAGGCCACATTCTCGGCAGCCACTTTGATTTTAACTGAATGTGGGAATTGCTGAACCAACAGCTCCCAAATTCGGAGAAATTCAAAGAAAAGGCTGCTATCCCGGCCTTCCAGATTCTTGCGATTCGCCCTTGCTGAGCTGAGGTCTCTGCATGGAAAACCCCCCCACAGGTGGACTTCTTGAACTGCAGCGAAATCAAGTGCCCACTCCTCAACCTGCTCCTGGCCTATGTCTCTGACGTCCCTGAGGATGTGAACACCCGGCCAACGCCGACTGACAATGCGATTTGCAGGTTTATGAACATCCACTGCTATAACCCCCTGGGGGATAATGTCCAGAATGTCGTAAACCCGGAAGGTGCCACCAATGCCCGAGAACAGAGCAATTACTAAGATTGGAGCTGAACCCAAAGTCCTGCTGGCTAACCTTGAGGCCATGAGAAAATCTTTGCCAACCGGGGAAAGTTCCCTTGCACAAGTGAAAGCTCCCCCCCTTTCTGAAGCATCACTACACCAGAAAGAATCCGTGACGGTGGCAGTCATCGAAGTATGCAAGAGGGGGATGGCACTCATGATTAAGAAGAACTCTCTTTTGGTTTTCAGTGAAACATTGCTCTCACCCTTCTTTCCATTGATGAACTTCCAGACATGATCAAGCCAGCCCATGCCTGGTCTCCTAAATTGCAAAACATGCACCCATCGTCCTGCCAGAATCTGAGCCTGTTTTCTTCCTAAAGCTTTCTGACTCAAAACCCAGCAAGTGGCCTGTGCAAGTTTACAGAAACGTTTAGGGGACCCTCCTAGGAAACCTGAACGTCCACCAAGCATTGCTCCCAGCTCTTCAATGACTTCTGCCCTTGCCACTCTCTTCTTGTCCGAGGAGATAATGCCTGTCCGTGCCCAAGCTGCTTCTGCTGCGTCGTGCGTGTGGTCACCTACACTAGGGTTGACGTGTAGGGCTCGTTTGTCACCAGCCATGAAGTTGTCAAGGTACACCTGCCAAAAACCTCTTTCTGAACTCAAGGCCTCATGAGCACACTGAGTTAAGACGGGAGGTATAGCAACCCCTCGTCGTATTTGCTGCGAGGCAGGCAAGCCAGCATTCCACAAGACTCTCTCGCTAATTTCTTGCATCAGACCAACACTGCAATGCCAACCCATAGGCAAGACTGAACAGGACAAATAATACTCCTGGCCATCGGTCTTCCCAATTTCAAAGCCTTTTGCACAGACATTGAAACAGAGAAAGGGGTGCCAGGCCACAGGCAAACGGAACATATAAAAAGCCGAACACATGTCGGACTGATACATACTCATCTCCTCCGACTTATCCAGAACGGTGGATTGGAAACAAGTGATGGCAGGAAGAGCATGCACCGATCCTTTCAACTGCTTCAACACCGAATTGCTTGCTTTGAGATTCATAATCACCCTTAAGATTGGTCTACCGTCCTCCAACTGTGCAGGTTTTCTCACGCCAAACAGGCCGTTTAGAATGCGTTTCCCTTTGAACACCAACACCTCCTCAGCCTTAACCCAGGTGCAAATACCACGTCTAACCAGCTCTGAGCAAACCAAAGTCCTCTCACCCTTTGCAAAATGAGCTTTTCCGGGGATAGAAGGAATGGGTTTTGTAAAATCTTCCTTCAACAAATCTTCTGGATGTAGTAGTTGTTGGTAGGTAGCTTGTGACAAGACAGCACTTAAAGGAATAGAACCTCCGTGGCCCAAGGGGGGAAGAGCAGGGAGGATTTGACTCAAGCTCAACAGTTCACAGGAGCCAACCTCCTCCCCATCGTATCCCACGCGTGCATGCCGAAAATCCTCGCACACTTTTTCAAAGGACTCTAGAGGGTCACGGGGTAAGTCCAGCAGCCTCTTCACAGCCGCTCTGACGTTGTCTATTCCTCTCTTCTCAAGCTTGCTCCATTTGCCAGGTGCCAGCGGTTTGTTGAAACCAGCCAGGCTATTCAAAGCGAACAAAGATGCCATCAACCAACAATCCTCAGCATTTGCCTGAACAAATTCCGACTGCGTCACCTCTGCAAGACTGCAAGTTCCAAGCGTGGCAACAAGAGGCTCAAGGTCACCAAGCCTCACTGGGAACGAGACGGCTCCTTTGGGCCTCTCGCGACAGGTTGCGGTCACCCTCTCCTCAAAAAGAATCCTCTGGGCCCAGTTCCATGCTGGGTCTCTCCGAAAACCTCCGGCCTTAGCCACGATCCAAGCAAGCATGCATCCAGTGATCTCAATGCCTATAATCCGGGTGCCTACCTGCTCGAAGATATCATGGCCGGAAACAAATTCATTCAAACGACATGCACTCCTCTCAATGCCGACTCTGCTCTCCTCACACGCATTCTCCTCACGCTCAAAGGAATCAACTTCCTCAGTCGACAGCTTCAAACATGGCGCCAGACCCCCCTGCCAAATGGAGGGATTTATAGGCGGCCGACTCAACTCCTCTCCTTCTCTCAACTCTGGTCTGGCTTGTCCTGGTTGTCCTTCCACGCATTCTTCCCTTTGAGGTCCTTTCCCTTGTCGTGCTTGTCCTTGTCCTTTCCTTTTCCCTTTTTGCTTTTGCTTTTCCTTTGTCGTGCTGCCACCAGCCTTTTCCTTTGCCATCTCCTCCGAACCAGCCTCGACTCCTCATGGGGTTCCAAGCATCCGGCATCTCGGCTTTCAGGCTGGCTTTCGCGTGCTTTCTCGTCTCCAACAAGATTGACGCACTTGTGGCACTCATCTCCTCGCCCTCGATCACCTCTAAAAATTTGGCCTGGCTCCAGCCCTGATCCATCAGCGACTGATGGGTCGCGAGGAAGTGCCCAGCGAGGTGGTCCGCCGCACGGGCTATTTGACCTGAGCGTATCAAGTCGAGGGTCTGTGCCATCAAGTACATGTCTCTCATGGGTCCTCGAGCATGGTTGAAGTGAGGTCGAACATGGAGTTGGTAATATGTAACCAGCTTCACTCCCTTCGTGATCGCACTGTTCAGGCTCGGGTCCACCTCCACTAATGCCGACTGGTCGAGCGCGGTTTGAGCTTTCTGTACCAGCAAGCGGAGCACACTGCCGGGGTTGTGACGAGATCTCCGTCTCATCGGTGCTTCGAATTCTTCGGACTCGCTCCCCGAGTACCCGTCGCTCGAGTGCTCCGAACTGGAGGTGGACATCAGCACTCCGTTCACCAGCTTTCGCTTTCTTCTCTTGCCTTTGTCCTTCCTCCGTCTCTTGTCTCTCCTGCGGGAGCTCCTCGATCGTCCTCTGCTGACGAGAATGTCCGGACGAATGCCTCTTCTTCTCTTTCTTCGGGGGTTTCTCCTCTTTTCCACTCACAGGCACTGATCTCACCTCCTCTGAAAACTGCCTCTTCTTCTTTTGCTCACTACCTTCACCAGACCCAGCGCCTTTCTTCGGCGTCGCGGGTCGCTTGGATTGATCAACACCTTCCTCAAACGTCTCAACCAATGAAGGGGGATCCTCAGCCTCCGAGTATTCGTACGTGTACTCGCTCTCGCCTTCAACTTCAACCTCCTCCTGTTCAACTTCTGGCTGCTCAGCGGCTTCCTCAACCTTCACCTTCTCACGCACAACCGGAGGAGCTTTTGGGGGAGGTCTTGCAGCGGCCTTTGGGGTCGCACCCAGAGCTTTCGGGCTGGCTTTGGCACCACGCGAATCCTCTCCTTCGAAGCGCAGCCGCAAGGACAAGATCCTCAAAGTTTTCAGCGCTTTGGCCTGATCAACGAGTTGATCGGCCGCCAGCCGCCGAAGCTCAACCGACCCCCACCTCTCTCGGAGCTCTGCCGAGATCGCCTCAACTGCCGAACAGCTGAGGCACCAAGAATCCCCGATGAGGGATGGTGCAACACGGCACTTATTGCACCGTGCCTCCCCCATGAACCCTCAGACTTTAAGCCCAAACAGCGGTGCAAAACGAGGTGGTCAGCCTATGATTCTGCAGAAAACATATATACATACATAATATAATAAATGGATTTGTTATTGACAAGCCTAGGTCAAGCCCAGCAGCTGAGAATAATTACTGCCCAAATGTCTGTTCCGCCCAAATCTCTTTCCATCTCTGATTGTCTAATCTTTTAAGGGAATTACTTTTGTCTGACTTTACAAATGCAATGAGTTTCTTGGTCAGGCCATAAGTGAGCCAAACATCCATCAAACCGTGAGAACAATCACACCACTGGCTTTGTGGATTTGACAAGGGTTTGAAGTTGTACCATTCCAACCCAAACCCCTCTCCATTATTGCGGCTTTCCCAGAATAAGTGTGATCCTCTATATGGTATGTGTTGGAATAGTTAGGAAGACTGAGACACTCAAAGAATACTGGCAAACGGCCAAACAGTTGCCACTGACTGGGGGATCTCCGTATCACGCGCAACTATGCCGAATCGTTCTTGCAAACCATGCAGCGCCGGAACCTCGGATGGTGTTGGCCTCCTCCAAGGCTCGAGACATTCGCTTACACCAAATGTCCACATCGATGGGCTTACCAATTCCTTTCTCAGCGTCTTCATGAGATAAGCTGAAAAAGCCCGTGGACAAGCAGTACCTAAAGACCGAAGACCAAATCATCGAAAATTGCAATGTGATGCAATTCTGCCTGGAAAACCTGAGACTCTGAAGACGTCTTCACTTACGAGGATAGATGTGGTCCTTGTATTTCTGTGTTTCATTTTAGGAGCTGAAAGTACACGATATTTAAAAACAAACAAAAAACATCATAATCGAAACAACAAAAAGCTACAAGGGGCTCGTGGCCTTACTACTAGGAGCAAGGACGCTACTAGGGGTTCCTTGCCTTACTAGTAGGAGCAGGGACGCTTCTAGGGGCTCCTGGCCATACTACTAGAAGCAAGGATGCTTCTAGGGGCTCCTGGCCTTAATACTAGGAGCGTCCGGGCTCCTGGCCTTACTACTAGGAGCAAGGATGCTACTAGGGGCTCCTGGCCTTACTACTAGGAGCAAGGATGCTTCTAGGGGCTCC